ATTATATCAATGTTAAGATTTTTTTAGTTGATTATGTATCAGAAGAATTAATACGTAATTATAAGAAAAAAATAAAAATATATACAAAGATATGAAAGTATCTGTTTCTAGAATTTTTGAATTGGTACAGTATATAGATAATTGAATTACACGAATGACGTAATATTAGATGATCATGATATACAAAATGTGGTGCAGTAAAACACAATTTGATGTATTAAAAAGATAGTAAAGAAGAGTATATCAAATATATGGTCAAGTTTTTAGCAGAGCTGTTTTTTGTGCATATTCTTTGATATGCATGAATTCTGCACTGAGTATAGAAGATTGTCACATATTTAAAATTGTTTTGTTGAATAGTTGTAAAATTAGCAAATCATTTAACTTTGTGTTCTAGAAAGCATTATATATGCACTATTATTTGCATGTCTTCCTGATAGATTGACGATTGTTTTTTGAAGAGTATATCCTTGAGATTTAAAGTCTGTAAACGTGTATGCAGATGCTAAAGGAAGTTGAAAATGCTGAAAATTTCTATGAATCATTGATCTATTATGTCTCCAAATTGTGTATACGCAGGCACATTTGATAGAATAGATAGGTACATAATTGGATGGAAGAGTTTTATAAGTTCCAGATTCTTTATCAGTTAATTCAACAATAACATACTTAGGAGGACCTTTTAACACTATATTGTTTTTACGCGAAGATGAATAGTCAATCGAATTTTGGTCATATACAATTTGTTGAAAAATTTCTAATAAGCCATTAGCCATATTATCATTAGTACAGATGTTAACTGTTAAAACAACTTTCATATTTATCGATAAAGATAAGATTCTACATAGTATATTTTCTTTAATATTAGACACTGATAAAAACTTTATATGATTATTCCTAGTAAGAATTTTTCGATTATAAGAGTCCATCACACATGAGTAAATAATAAACTGATTATTATCATAGGCATGTTCTTTAACAGCTTCAAGATTGAGCTAAACGCAAAAGATTATTTTTTGTCATCAGAAAAGTGGCATCTCTCTATTCTTCAGAGTCGATTAAGTTATCACTAAGAATTCTTGATCATAAGACCTCTAGTTGAATTTCTGTAATATTACTATGATGCATATTTTTGAGTATGCTTGCGTAAAAAGGGTCATCTATTTAATGCATTTGAGTTTTTAACTGGACAACATGATTAACATTTAACCAGAGGGTTCTGCTAGTTGTATTGGTAACAGTTCAAGAATTGATCGGTAATAGGTCAACATTACGTTTTCACTTTGCACTTTTCGAAGTTTCATTTTCAACTGGAGGTGAAAAATATGTAATTTTTTCAGACATATATAATGCCTTGTCTAAAACTGGTAGTAATTGCATAAAATTACCAGCAAATAATATGTTAATTCCAGCAAATGGAGTAGAATCATCACTTGCTTTTATTTTTTTTGTAAATGTGTGAAATCGTGAAAGAAGATTTTGTCCAATCATAGAAGTTTCATCTATGATAGCATACTCTATAGTAGACCAGTATTCTTGAAGCTAGCACAGACTTTCTTTTGATAAATTAGAACGAGTATTAAGACTTTCATCGAAACTGAACCTGCATGCAGAGTGGATAGTACTTTCACATATATTTATTGCTGCAATACTAGTAGGCGCTAAAACTATCAGAATGTTACTTTGTGAAGTATATTCAAAATATGAACATATTGCATGAATAACTCTGAATTTACTAGTTCCACTCGCACTAGTAAGATAAAATAATAATTGAGAAGGTTTATTCTTGGATAATTGATTATTTTTTTGATGATGTTTGCAGAATAAGTAATAAGCCATTTTTTGTTCATTGTTTAAGTCTAATATGAACGTTTCTAAGGTGTCTGAATTTTCTGTAATAGTAATATTTAGGTGAGCATTTTCATGATTATTATGCCAAAGATTTATAAGAGAATGTATTAGGTTAATATCTTTTTTAAGAATAGAGTTAATATCATCTTGTGAGGTAGTCTTTCGAGAGGAGATAGTATTCTGCTAAATCTTTAACATATCACTATCATACGGACCACTTGAACGTATAGCTTCTGATTCAAAGTTTTCAGTAAAGTTTATATTATCATTATCTAATGAAGAAAATTTTTTTATAGAAAATCTACCTCGAATTCGTAAAAAGTTCATAGCAAAGTCAACAGTTTTATTGTTTTTTAAGCCAGATCTGATAACTACTTCAGGGTCAAGTCGATGGATAGTATTATTAGGTGCATTATTCATAGCTAAATTATCATTATCATCAGAAAAGTCTAGTCCATCAATAGCATCATATCCAGGGACACAACGATCTATATGGCAAGCTTTTGCAAGAATTGGTTCTTTTAATACGTTTTTTCATAGTTCTCAATCGAGCTCAGTCTCTTCAGAATATCTATGTATTAATTCTATATTATATATCACAGATTTTAAGCACTGAAATAAAGAAGAGCTATTTAAAAAAGCTTAACAGGCTTTGGCCCAAGTGTCATAATCTTCACGAAGGTCATGAACAGTTTCCCAAGGTTTAAACAGCATAAGAATGCATAACCCATAACATTCAGCATTTTCCTTATCATCTTTTTTAGGCAGTCCTTTACTGCACAGTACAACCACTCTCTCAGAACCTTTTTGTCTGCATAGCTGAATATGTGATTTATATTGAGAGTGGATACTACTGGTAACGTGAATATTGTCCTTATTACTACCGCGGAAATAAAAATGATCCACTCAAGATCTGTTGTTCTAGTTCGATAGCATAGAAAGCTCATGGGCATTTATCTGGACTTTCTTAATGACAGATGCATAGTCATAGAGGCAAATATTATGTAAAGATTTACTCTGAAACTGATAATCAACATGGAGGTTTATAGCAGTTAACTTGCTATTATAAGAAGATATTATAAAGGATCCACATGTTAAGTTATGATCAACTTGTTTTTCTGTATCGGATCTATCATCCGATTCAACATCGGTTTCAATAGTATTATTTGGTAATCGATAAAAGTTAGCCCATTCTTTCATAATATAAAATTCAAAAGTATGAAGATGGATCGATGCAAATTTGGTTGGGATGTAATGATCACATATACTCAACAAGTTAGCAGAAACTTGTGGGCTTGTAAGCTCCATTTGTCTAGCCATTTTGTTAAGGCATTTCAATACAAGGTTACGAGATTTGAGTATAAAATCATACGAAATTTTATTGAGTAATCGAGTTAAAAAGTTTTCTAGAGTGGAAGCACATATTAAAAAAGAGCTATGTATGCTAATATCTGATTTAATAACATAATCGGTAATATAATAAATATAAGCCAGAGCAAGTTTCTGAGTGGATATAAATTTAATGTCATTATTTCTTCTGCATGCAGCCATTATATAAGGGTTATGGTTGTTAATAAAGGCACTCGTACATTGAATGGCTATTATACCTTATTCATGAAAAATCATACTAGGTTGATCTACAAGTTCTCGCGAAAAGTCAAATTGGCAATGTTTACATAAATCATGGTTATATTTCTTGCAGGAATGAGTGCAATGATGAAAAAGAGTACGTTTACAAATAGCAAGTAGATCTAAATGAAGCTCTTCTTCAAAGTTAGATGACTTGGGATCAGGTATGGGTAAAAAAGATAGATGCATTCACTTTTGGAGCATTGTTTTATAGGCCTCGTATTTGGCTTTAATTGTGATATCATTAATGATTTCATCTTTCATTAGATAATTAATGTCTTCACGAACAATATCACTAACAAAATTTAGGAGACGTCTGCAAAATTCGTTATCGTTTTTAAGTTTCTAGTGTAAAAATAATAGGTTGTGAGCTCCATAAAGCCAAACAAGTATATGACAATGCGGTGTACCACGATTCTGATATTCAACTACACTATAGTAATTTTTTATAGAGCCGAATATACTATTATTTTTTCTTTTATATCTGATTAATATGTCTATAATTGCTTGAATAATAACATAAAAGTATTTGGTGATAGCTGTAGGGTCAAGGTGGGCAAGCTGAACTCTTTCTGAAGCTTTTAGAAAGTTTCTTGGAGAGAGGTTTTGAAGATCTATTTCTTTTCCAGCGTACATCATAACAATAAGGCTATGAAGGTTAGCAGGATTTATAGTTATGAATAATGAAGGTATACCATCTCGTATAATAACAGTATATATTTTATTGCACATATGCAAATGTGATTGATGAGATGCCATTAATTTAGAACCTGCAGAATTGACATTTTTGAGCAATTCAATAACAGCAGGATTACTAATCGATTGATTATCTTAGCCTTGTTTAACAGCAAAATCAATATCTTCTGGTTTTAAAGATGATATTAAATTTGCTGATTGATTGAAATTATTATTTTTTGTTAGGTTATAAGATTCTGTTGATACTTCTCACTGCTGTAAAATATTAAAAATAACAAAAGGAAATGACCTGTATTGTCTAAACTTTGGATCATTATGCCGCATGAGGTAATTAGCATATTTTTTCAATGAGACTCGAGATAATCGACCTTTGTGACCACTAACACTATAAGGGAAGAGAATCAGAAAACCTGCAGGAAGGAGAGTTAAGTCTTCATATTCATTTAGAGGTTTATCACTGTGGGGTATGTTTAATATATGTGATCATATTGCTCTATCTTTTAATTTAGGTACGTTCTCATTTAACTGTAATTGCTCATGAGTATTATAATCCGAGTTATTAACAAGTTTTTTAAAAGAGAGCAATGTAAGCTCTTTTCTAGTAATCAGTATGTCATCAACATCTATTATCCCAGAAGGTCTGAGTTCATTTGCACTATTAACTGAATTATTACTTACAAAGTCTTTTAAATTATGCTCATTAATATTAGATTGTTCTTCAATTTCACTATCATTACTTTCGCTATCAGATTCTTGTTGATCACAAGTGTAGCTAGTATAATGCTCTGTTTTATGAGAATCAATATCTATAACTGTAGTCATTATGGTTAAGGCTTCAAGAATTTCTCCTTTGAGTAGATTATTTAAAATATTCTCATCAAGTTTAATTTTATTTTTAAATAATTTATTGTGGTAAAAAAGCTACTTAAGAGCAATTGTTATCTTGCTTTTTCGAACTTGGAGCACTTTTTTGAGCTGGTGCTGAGTAGTAGTTTCTTTCTCTACAAAAACTACTTTTATATATTCACAAAGCTTATATACTGGTAAGAGCAGTACATTAATTAAAGAACTTGGATTTTGAGGTAATGTCACAACATGTCCTTTAAGCTTATGGTGAATATGTCTTCTTTTTGTTATTTGTATAAGATTCATGCACGAGTACTCAGATGAAATAAGGAGTTGTTCTGGTATCAATAGGTCTTGAAGATATGCTAGGGTAGAACCAATCCACATATTATTGGCTAACGATAATGGTGGAGTTATACATTTTTGTAAATAATTATCACAAGAATGGCAAATTTGTAACTGAAAGGGATCATGAGAATTATCTGAATTATTAAGATCTTTAGGTGAGTATATGAACCCAGAACATCAAGGAGAATATTTAAATGACTAGTAGTAATATAAGAGTGGTTATAGTCAAAATTGATTTCAAATAATGGATCAGTAAGTTCAAGAGGTGCTTTAATCAAGGAAAGATTAATTGTTTGCGCTGAAATTTTTTTGTAATTTTTGTGATTATAAATTCCTGAGCAAACTACACATGGTAACTCATACAATTCATTAAGATCAACTATATCTTGAAATTCAGCTAATGCTTCTTTAGCTATTTCTTTTCTGGTAGGCTGAGACTATGCAATATGGTGTTGATTAAGTTTTTCAAATTCACTATCTATATCTATAATACATAAAGGGATATTTAAACTATCGGTAAGATGATCTTTTGTATATCAAGATTCAATTCTCTTTTTCTTCAGTATGGCATTTCGATTATCATTATGTAACCTTCGTAATTGAGAATCTTTACACCGAAAAACTATTCGTTCACGATTTTTTCTCTTCTTGGCTTCACATCTAGTTTTTATATTAATCATAGTATGTCTAAAATAATATAAGAATATATATGTTAAAGAATGAAATCAAAGTTTGTATTTATGAGAGAGTTTTGTGTCAATGAATTAGATATTTATTTAATGTCTAATTTATGATTAGAAAAATGAATACTTTTTCTCTTTTTTTTTTAACACAAAGTGCAATTTTTTTATACTTTATAACAGATAACAATTCAAGAAAACTTATAGCGTGGTAGATTTCTATCTGATTAAACGAACCATTGTTAAACAGTAATAATTCTTTGTATTCTTATGCACAATATAGTTGAAACCTTTAAGAAATTATTCGAAATGTCTGAAGTACAGTATTTTTAGACCATATTTGATAAATTATATAATTATATTAAATAGAAAAAGTATAGTAAAATACTTGTTTCAACTAAAGGGTTCTTACCTATTCACAATCTATTTTACCAAGTTTGGTTCCAGTATTAAATAATTAATATTCATAAATAAAAAAAGTTTAATTAAATTCGCTATTATTATTTTGGTAGAGTTCTAGATGCATGCTATTAATAAGTATCTACTAATTCTGATCTAAATCGATTTAGTATAGTTGAACTTTAGTCTAATATGTCTTTGATTCAGTTGGGATTTACCGAGAAGAATGGGTAGTATTATTAAAAATAAATTAACCAATTACACTAAAGTTTACTATTTAAATTTATTATATTCACATATAGAATATTTAGTAATTAAAAATTTAAAATAAACTGTCTGATTTTATTTACGATTTACATAATTTAGATAACAATTAAAAATAAACAAACAAGAGAAATTGACGTTTATATGAAAGATCCTAGTATTTATAATTATGATATGATCAAATGAATATTATTTAATAGACTTTTAAGTTATCTCATGAAATTGAAGCATGTGGATTTGTATAACAGGGAGTGCAACCAGTCCTATTTTCACGTGTAAAAACACAAAAATTCAAAGTTAATAGTTATATATATACATAATAACTTAGAATAGTAAAAGAATGAAAAGCTTTAAGAAATTATTGTTTAGAAAGTACTATAAGCAGATTTTTTGATTTCCAATTAAAATTTTATCGCAATTAAGAATTAATTAATAATGATAAATGCAGTTATTTTTATAAAAATTCAATTATAGAGATAGCATATTTATTTTGCAATCAGTTATCAGTATTATAAATAAGATAGATAATATAATAAAAAATAAGTCGAACTAATCAAGTGATTATGATATTCCCATATATCACAACAATATTAATTCGGAAAAAATATACAATATAATAAATGAATTACCATATCTAATATCTATAATATTAATTATTACGAAATTTTTTTAATATTTTTTTCCTTTTTCTTTCATTGCCTTTCTAGTAGCTCTTTTTCTTTTTCTAGTTTGCGATTCTTCTAGTTCATTGATGTCTTGAAATTCTTCATCACAAGTTAAATCTGTAGCATTTTTATTATTACTTTCATTAACATTTTTATGATCAAATTGCTTCTCATCACTCAGATAATCTTTAATAGTAGTATTGTATTTTTTATTATTATTGGATGGACCAGCTTTAATGTTGGCATCAATAGTATGATATTCTTTATTATTATAGGATGGGATAGCTTCAATGTTAGCATTAACAGGATCTACGGATTTTCTAAACGAACCATACTGATCTTGGGGTGCTTTTGTTATAGTAGAATCAATATCATCATCAATAATATCGATTATTAATAGTGTATCTGATATTGTAGAGTGAGAACTTTCAGACTCACCAATATTGATAGACGAAGTTCTTAGATAATCGATATCAGTAGCCTCGATTATCATCTTTTCAGACTTAGAAAATTTAAAAAAACCCGATAAAAATAATTGGAACGTAACTTAATGTTAGAACCTAAATGGCCTAAATATTTAAATCTGGATGAATTTAATGAGTAAATAACTGTCATGTCAATTTTAATATCAGAGTTACCAGTGACAGAATTATATTGAATTGTTTCTGCACCAAAATGAATAAAATCTCCAACATTCTTCAGTTGACGGGTAACAGTTACAAAATATATACTATGAGGAATAGTTATGGGAATATTACTCAAGTCAAATTTGTGGTTAGGGTTTTCGTTATCAACAATGCTTGAGTTGCAATGGTAAAACATAGTTCGGAATTCTCAATAATAAATTTCCCTGAAATAAAAACTAGATCTCCGTTCACAAATATTTGTGACAGTTGATCAGCAAGAAAGAAATATTTGAATCTGATTGTCTGAGTTAATTCTTTAGTAAGCTTGTATTTAGCAAGTCCATTTGAGCATGAGCAGCTGTTTTTTATAGAGATTATGACAACAAGAAGTGAAATGTAAGAAACTATCTTAGGTCTTGAATACGATTGTAATTTTATTACAGTGAAGAAATCAACCTGCACTCTTAAAAAGTGGACCCTCAAAAAGTGCATTCTTATATAGAAAATTAGTGCTTGAATTTTTCATGTTACTTTCTTTTTTACAATAATTTAATATCACTTATCATCAAACAAAGATTTATAATATTTATTATTCACAAGAATTCAGCAAGTAAATCATTATCAAAGATTTTATTACACAAGAACAATGTATAGTATAATAGCCTAAACAAAAGACATCTAATCAAGATCATAATTTACAAAGACAGGCTTAATATTAATACAATAAATTATTCGTTATGAAAAATTTTATAATATTCAATATTTACATGAGTTATTTTAATTTTTAAACTCGTTTTACAAGATTAAAATTAGACAATTTTGTAGCAAAATTTATAATACAAAAATAATTAACCATATTGTCTATTCTTATAAATTTTATATAACTTAAAGGATCATATGATATTTAAATTATCATTTATTATTAATTTTTCAATTTATTCTATGCGATAAAATCGTAGAATTAATCACAAAAATATTGCAATTTAGTAATTACCATTTTTATACATTACCATTTTAATAGCATAATATATCAATTGTCGAATTAACTAGATTGTTTTTTTACTGCAACATCCTGGAATTATCATGCCTTGAATCAAATAATAATAAAGTAAATGCAATTTAGTAATTAACATTTTACTCATTACTATTTTAATCGCATGATATATCAATTGTCGAATTAACTAGATTGTTTTTTACCACAACATCCCGGAATTATTGTGCCTTAAATTAAATAATAATAAAGTAAATGCAATTTAGTAATTACTATTTTACGCGTTACAATTTTAATCGCATAATATATCAATTGTCAAATTAACTAGATTGTTTTTTACTGCAACATCCTGGAATTATCGTGGCTTGAATCAAATAATAATAAAGTAAGCACAATTTAGTAATTAATATTTTACTCATTACCATTTTAATTGCATGATATATCAATTGTCGAATTAATTAGATTGTTTTTTTACCGCAACATCCTGAAATTATCATGCCTTAAATTAAATAATAATAAAGTAAATACAATTTAGTAATTACTATTTTACACATTACCATTTTAATCGCATAATATATCAATTGTCGAATTAACTAGATTGTTTTTTACCACAACATCCCAGAATTATCATGCCTTAAATTAAATAATAATAAAGTAAATGCAATTTAGTAATTACTATTTTATGCGTTACCATTTTAATTGCATAATATATCAATTGTCGAATTAACTAAATTGTTTTTTTACTGCAACATCCCGGAATTATCATGCCCTAAATCAAGTAAATAACAATAATAAAAAAGTAAATGCAATTTCGTAATCAACATTTTATGCATTACCATTTTAATCGCATAATATATCGATTATCGAATTAACTAGAATGTTTTTTTTTTTTACCACAACATCCCAGAATTATCGTGCCATAAATCAAGCAAACAACAATGATAATAAAGTAAATGCAATTTAGTAATTAACATTTTAATCGCATAATATATTAATTGTCGAATTAACAAGGTTTTTTTTTTTTACTGCAACATCCCAGAATTATCATGCCCTAAATCAAAGTAAACGCAATAAGACCAAAAATCAGGTTTATTAACGAACAATATTTAAATATCAATATGAATAACAAACAATTTATAAATTCTCGCCAGAACGTAATTAGCCAAATTCATAATAATCGGTAGAATACATTCAATTTATTAATAATCATTTTGGCTGAGTTTTTGAATTACTCATATTCGGCATAGTGCGTACTCGCTTCACAACTAGAAATTCGGTGTAGCGCGCACTCGCTTAATACCAGAAATTTAGCATGAGAGATATATATATATTCGGTTAGAACAAAATAATTGACATTCTCGAATGATCAGCATGTACAGTACCTTAATATCCATAGATCAAATTACGATTAGTGTTAGCGTTAGTGAATGGCATTCCATATATAGCACTTTAACTCAACAAGGAATATGACGAAATTATACATAGTCAACAAGTGCCAGTTTAAATCTGGCAGCCCTCAACCGCGACCTACAAGAATAATCTGAAAAATTTGGATTCGAATTAGATCATGTGTAATTTTGATAAATAAATCACATATCTGATCTGTAAGTTGTTAGTTAAACTTAGACTTCAAAACAATATTTTACGTTATAGTTTGCATATATACTGTACTTTTCGAACGAATCATATGAGCAGAAGTGAGGCATACACTAAACGTACACAACGAGAAACCATAGAATACCTGTGGAATAAAGGTATACACAGTACAAAAGAACTTCGCAATCGGACAAGTATACCTTCCTCCACCACATACTATAATATAAAAAAATGAAAGCAAAGTGGAAATACGAACCACGCAAGAGGGAATGGGTGGCCTACTAAAATCAGCAAAGTCGCCTCCCAGGCACTTACAAAGGAAATTTGCAAGGACTCTTCGATTACAACGAGAACTCTGGCTATTAAACCATAAAATATAGGTAATAACATATCTTATCGCACAGTTGGAAAGCATTCGGGTAGTATTGGCTTTATTAAACGTCTCCCCCTAAAAACCCTTATGCTAATGGCTGATCACAAAATAGCTCGAGTGAAATGGGCCCTGGCTCACCCGGAACAGAATTTTTTTTTTACTGATGAGTCTGCTTTCAAACCCTTCAGGAATACAGTCAAGCATTAGCACAGGGGTGAGCGTCCAATTCGTCCTGTTCCCAAAGACCGAACTAAAATCAAAGTGTGGGTGGATTTTCAGTAAGGGGAAAATGCAGTTCATTTTGCTTTAAATATATAATAAACAAAGAATTTTATGTTGAAATTTTACAACAAATCATTTAGTATTTGTCCACCTATGCTATAAATTTCAAATGATTTTATACAGTCGTTTATCCGTAATCGTGTAATAAGTAATTCTAATTATTTTTGTCCCACACTGTAAATGTCAAATCTTTGATTATTATTTCATTAAACCAATAAAAAATACTACGGAAAATCCTCAAAATCTAATGAACATATGCGATAATTCACATCGGGCCACCAGTATCTATGCTAAAAAATTATCCTTTTATCACCATTTACCATAACATCTCTAATTTAATGGTGTTCCGGGTTTTATTTTCATACACATGTGTTAAACATAATATACGTTCATGTGTACGAATGCAGACGCAATAGTCATGCCACCGGTACAAGGTGTGAAATGATATGCGAAAAATAGGCAATGCATAACAATACGTGACGTATAGAGTCACGCGGACCAATCAAATGCCAGGAATCGCACACGCATATTAACTTGTCCTGTAAACCATACACTACGTTGTACGTTGTACAAACTCCGTTCCTGGTATATATGGAATAAGTGTAATTAATGCAATAAAGGCGATAAATTAGATATAATACTTTTATTACATTTGTTAAATAAA